ACAATAACACGATATGTGCAAATGGTAAACATAATCAATACGAATTGAGACTTATAGCAACTTTTAAAATTGTGACGATACAAGTTTAAAATTTTAACATGGCCTATTATTTTAATTTTTGATTTAATTAATAATAATTAATAATTAATTAATTATTAATATATTTTATTTTAAATTTTAATTTAATTTTTAATTAAAATAATGGACTTGCATTTCGTAAGCCCATAGTATTGTAGTATGTTTGTTAAGACCATAAACTTCATCATCATAAAAAGTTTTATAGAACTATTGAAAAAGTTGTATTGGTATTTTGCCTTGAGGTAAGTTACATAAACTTCCCGAAATGCGTAAATATTCGACTTAATCAATAAAAAATAAATTAATTTATGAGTGATTAAAAGCATTCCTAGTGGATTTATTACACATAATTGAAAACGAACGAACACGTTAACTCGGAGTAGCATTTTCTAAAAGCAAATTTTCACAAATCAATAATTTTTATAATTGAACCAGTTTCCGTAGGACTTTAATGGTTTAGTATATGTTCATTAAGACCAAGTACTCTATCGTTATACCAAGTAAATCGTTTAATTTTAATTTTACAAACGTCAAAAAAATTTCTCATTTTCTCAACCTTTGATAATTTTTTAAAATTAAACTACTCGTCGTAAGGCAGTGATATTTCTATAAGTTCTGTAAGACCATGATATATATCGCCAAAAAAAGTTCCATAAAAATAGCTTTAACTTTTTTTTCAACAGTTAATTACAAGAAAACGGCTCGGTAGATTTTCACCTAAAACTAATTAGTATCATTCACAACTAATATCTTTCGAACAGTTTTGGATTTTTTAAAATCGATTCGATAGTATAAGCTTAAATGCGGATGAAAAGTTTAACATTTTTTTCCAAATTGCAAAGAAATGGCTCGGCAGATCGTCGCACAAAACTGACAAACTGATAGTCCTCATTGAGATACATCAAATGGCTTTTAAATTTCTGAAATCGGTTCAGGCGTTTTTGAGCAAACGTCCATGTAAGGTCTAATTTTCACAAATGGCAAAAAAACGATTCTATTTTTTGCAAACTTTGAAGAATTCTTTCGAACAGTTTTTGAATTTTCAAAATCGATTCAGAATTGCGGGCTAGAACGTGGACGAGAAATTTTTCACTTTTTTGCGATTTACAAAGAAACGATTCGGCCGATCGCAGCGCAAAATTGGCATACGATAGTTCTCATCGATATATATCATATGGCTTTTAAATTTTTAATATCGGTCCAGCCGTTTTTTGTTTTAATTATTTAAAAAATAATAAAACAATTTAGATAAAGTATTTTTTTTATAAAGTTGCTTTTTACGTATATATTCTAGACAGATATAGTTGTTAACGTAGTGTTTGTACCAGAATGAGGTATCGTAAATTTGAGTATGTCTACTTTGATATCAAATACTTAAATTGATAAGTCATGAATAAAAAATTTTATTAATTAAATATTTAACTTAGAAATGAGATTTGTGGTATGACTAAATAAATTTGATGTTTGATTTTAAAGATCTCTCTTGGATCATTTTTGTATATCAATTTAAATTTTATAACTTGTGCACGGTAAGACTGACTTGAGTCTAAATAAAATTGTTATCTTATATGAATGTAAATAAAATAGAAAAAGTTTGTCAGTATATTTGAAAATGTATTTTCATTCTTTAGATATCACTTCAAAACGAAACATTTTTTTTAGTTATATAAGTTTTTAACAATTCTTGAAATACTTGCAGTATAAATTAATAGAGTACTTACTCTAAAAAATATCGAGCATCAATATAGATATAAAGAGATGTTATTTTATTTAAATTATAACGGATTTATTGTTTTTAAAATTAAAGGTTCAAACAAATCTTGGTTGGAGTTCCAAATAAAGTGGCGCTCGAGTACATGCAGCGCCATCTTCGACCGAACAAAGTCGCATGCTCTGTAGTCGCATATCTACAAGTTCTTTTTGCACATCTATGGTTTATGCCTGTCTGTGGGATGTCATCATGGCATAAATTCATTTTCTCATCGGAGTTACTTAAAGAAGCATCGTGGAATACAGAGGCCCTCTTACCAATTGCTGCCTGGAAGATAATTTGGTATGTTGTAATTGTGCTAAATAGATTTCGCTTTACGGATTCGCTCGGATTTCATTTCGTGTTCGACAGTATTGCGTCATACTTTAAACATGACATGTGCTACAATTTATATAGTTTGCTCAAGTCGTATTAGTGCCATAGACGCACACCGTAAATATTCCATTTTATAATGTCTATTGTTAAATAAAACAATTTTGTTGACTAAGCAAGATCTTCCAATCGCAAGGCTATTGGACGTTGTGCAATATATTCGAAAAGTGATTGTGATTTGTGAATATGTTGGACTCGGTTATAAGACTTCCGGGAATATTTTTTTTTATTCACTATTATTTATACAAATATAAAATACTGTTTTTCAAAGTTTTTCCTCACACAAAGTGAAAGTAAATCTGAACTGCTACTTTATGAACATTTTTATCGAGAGACTTAATCAGTTTGTGAGTTGTATATATAGTTTAATTTTAAGTGTTATTTAAATCATTAGTATGTGCTAACTCATTTCAATTTATAGATCAGAAGAATTGCATATGTTGGAGCACAATCTTTGTTATCAAGAATTTTGAAGAACGGCTTTGTGCTCATACACTATTTTATTCATTTACTAGAAGGAAATGGCACAGAATAGTTCTTAGAATTTGATTGAAAATGAAGATGCAGATAAAGACTATTTTGTGCTTCTCTGGAGCAACTGCATAGTTCACGAAAGCAGCTTTGGTGACGTATCAACATTAGATAATAATATATCTGAGATGTTCATCATAATTTCATACTAACTTCTGTATTTCATAGGTGCATGTACGTTTGAATTTGTGGCATTTTGTGCAGAGTCTTTCAGTTTTTGTCACTGTAATGCACTAATTGTGGTCTTACTGGAATTGCATTTGGTATGAATGCATTTGTTGAACAGTGAATTTACCCAAGATTTCATTAATTGATACTTTTAGTTTTTGCTTTATCTTTTACAAATTTACGAAATCATTAAAGCATTGGCTTTTATGAATCAAATGACCATTTGCATGATTTGCATTCTTAGTTCTTATATCTAATAATACTAACAAATACTAACAACTACTAATCCATTCTACTACTAAAATATAATGTGGTCGTTTGAATCTTTTAAGTCTATGCAATGTGGATTTGAAGTATTACATTACATTTCAATTTTTACTGTTTCGAATTCATCTTAACGCATTTCATATAAAACCAAGTGCAATTATTAAACTGCTAGTAAATTCACAGAACTATATTTCTGGGCATCGAGATGAAATCACATGAAAACCACAACATATCATATCAAACAAATTGTTGAGTATCGAAGGGCCAAGTAATATCGAGTGAAAATTCAGTTTACATTTATTTTATTTTATTGATCCATTTTATTTTATATTATATTTATATTGTATTTATATACTTTATTTATTCTTTACTAGATCTACTGATTTGTAACCTCATACGTTTTTTAGGCATACATGATGGGACACTGTGATTATTACACACCGGTCAACTGGAATGATACGATTAAAATATTTGGAAAGCATCCAAAGTATGAATAACTTAGAAATTTATGGCATTTTTAAGACCACAGAAACTCCTAAACGGGACTAAGAAGTAAGTTCAAGTAAGTGTCTAAAAATCAATATTTAGCTTATCATTATTTTCATATGCTGTCAATTTTTTATTTTATTTCATTTTTTTATGAAATTCTCATCATTGAAAATTCAAACTTTATACAGAGCCTATCATGATGGATTGGTTGGTAACGCATGAGCACTTCTATGAAATCTCTAGGCAACATCAATGATAACATTTCTAATGTTTTTTTTATTTCAGATCCTGGTTCAACAACCAATTCAAAAATGCAAGAATATTCATTCCGACTACTTTACTAGAAATCTCTCTAGAAACATTACATCAGGTGTACATTTATCCATAACCAGTATAAATGCAAACGTTGCTAAAATATTTTTTTTCTCAGGTCCTTTCAACTTCTGCTGCTCTGCACACTAACTCCTTCACCAGGAACATTTAATCAGGTATGTGTTTATCCATAACCAGTATAAATGCAAACATTGCTAAAATATTTCTTTTTCTCAGGTCCTTTCAACTTCTGCTGCTCTGCACACTAACTCCTTCACCACGAACATTATATCAGGTATATGTTTATCCATAACCAGTATAAATGCAAACATTGCTAAAATATTTCTTTTTTTTTTCTCAGGTCCTTTCAACTTCTGCTGCTCTGCACACTAACTCCTTCACCACGAACATTTAATCAGGAATGTGTTTATCCATAACCAGTATAAATGCAAACATTGCTAAAATATTTCTTTTTTTTTTCTCAGGTCCTTTCAACTTCTGCTGCTCTGCACACTAACTCCTTCACCAGGAACATTTAATCAGGTATGTGTTTATCCATAACCAGTATAAATGCAAACATTGCTAAAATATTTCTTTTTCTCAGGTCCTTTCAACTTCTGCTGCTCTGCACACTAACTCCTTCACCACGAACATTTAATCAGGAATGTGTTTATCCATAACCAGTATAAACGCAAACATTGCTAAAATATTTCTTTTTTTTTTCTCAGGTCCTTTCAACTTCTGCTGCTCTGCACACTAACTCCTTCACCAGGAACATTTAATCAGGTATGTGTTTATCCATAACCAGTATAAATGCAAACATTGCTAAAATATTTCTTTTTCTCAGGTTCTTTCAACTTCTGCTGCTCTGCACACTAACTCCTTCACCACGAACATTTAATCAGGAATGTGTTTATCCATAACCAGTATAAATGCAAACATTGCTAAAATATTTTTTTTTTCTCAGGTCCTTTCAACTTCTGCTGCTCTGCACACTAACTCCTTCACCAGGAACATTTAATCAGGTATGTGTTTAGCCATAACCAGTATAAATGCAAACATTGCTAAAATATTTTTTTTTTCAGGTCCTTTCAACTTCTGCTGCTCTGCACACTAACTCCTTCACCAGGAACATTTAATCAGGTATGTGTTTATCCATAACCAGTATAAATGCAAACATTGCTAAAATATTTCTTTTTTTTCTCAGGTCCTTTCAACATCTGCTGCTCTGCACACTAACTCCTTCACCACGAACATTTAATCTGGAATGTGTTTATCCATAACCAGTATAAATGCAAACATTGCTAAAATATTTATTTTTTTTTTTCTCAGGTCCTTTCAACTTCTGCTGCTCTGCACACTAACTCCTTCACCAGGAACATTTAATCAGGTATGTGTTTATCCATAACCAGTATAAATGCAAACATTCCTAAAATATTTCTTTTTTTTCTCAGGTCCTTTCAACTTCTGCTGCTCTGCACACAGACTCCTTCACCAGTAACATTTAATCAAGTATGTGACTATTCATAACCAGTATGAATACAAACTTTATTAAAATGTTTCTTTTTTGCAGATTTTCTCAATTCAACTATCACTGCCCTGATACTCAAAACATCATGAGTTTAAAATACTCATTCATGTAAATGATTCACAAGTGGTTTTTTGTAATGACTGCCTATAATTATGCATGATTAACTTAAATCTTATTAACTCACTAACACGACTAACCTCACTAACTTAATCAGTTATTATAAAAACCACTTGCTGAGTTTTACTATGAAGGTCTTACTGATGTTGCTTGAAAGACAGCGCTGACTAATTTATCAGGTGATTTATTTTTTATAGTATATTATATGAGACTTGTTACTAATTCATTGTTTTTGTTCATAGGTTGAACAACTTCGAGCTAAGTAGTCTTCAACTCTGGAATTACTCAAGACTTTTTCTCCAGTGAAAATAATCGCTCAATCTTCAAATTATGCTATCCCAAGTAACTATCTCCGTCTTGTCGTCAGAGAAGGTGTCTACTGTGATATATTGAATAGTTAAGTGCATAGATGTTGATGAAATAATGAATAAATATATTATATTTATTTTAATTGATTGTTTTAATTTAATTATGAGCCACTTTACGGCCAAATTACATTATGATGTAACGTAAATTACAAAAATATTTAAACATATCCGAATTTTAAAAAATTCTTGTGTTAATAGGGATACTTATTGAGTGCACTTTTTAGTGGAGACAATTGTGTAAAACAGTTTGTTTACTGTTTGGGTGTCTTGAAATCTTGGTCAACTTCTTTAAACGTTTGCTTTGTCTCGGTCAAAGTCTGCGTAAGTGCTTTGACTTGTAGAACTATACACTTGGCTCTCTTGATAATACTGAATTGACTTAAAAAAGTAGATTTTTTTGACATGTTTAAATTGACTGTAAAGCATGTACTAGACACTTAGCTCTTGTGTTGTTGAAGTGCCTTAAACATTTAATGTGTCGGACCGGTGACTTCTCTAAATTAAATATTGTGTTTTCTATTACTCCTTTAAATGATGTACTTTTCTTAGCTATAAATATCACTTAATTTAATATCATACTGTGCTATTATATATATATATATATATATATATATATATATATATATATATATATATGTGTATCTATTTACATATATGTGTATGTGTATACATATATGCATTTATTGTTTTGCGTTTATATATACATATATATGTTATATTAATTTTTTATTGTAACTATTATCGTTCCATAACTATTATCCTTTTTCTGTTAATATCTATACTTTTTCTTAATAATTTTCTCTTTATTCACATTTTTTGGATTTGATTATGGATGTCTTACACATGTATATATTTTTACTATGTTCCTACTGCGCATGATCGTTGAGAAAATCTTCGTAATATGAAACCACTAAAATTCTCTCTATCCCGTTCTCTCACCAATGACGATACAGTTTCCACTATTTTCCGCAAACACTTACGCACACATTTTACTCTCGTACACACTCGTAATACAATTTCCAAACTAACAACATGTTCGTTTGGAATAAGCTTTTTTATAATAAAATATATCATTTATTTTAATTTTACATTTTTTTTAAATTTTTCATAACTAGACGTTTCATCAATCTTTTATTTCACATTTATTTATTTTTTCGTGCAATTTTGTGTTTCTGTGTTGTTTTTCAAAATTTATTTGTATGGTGAGTTTCTTTACATTTGTTTATTTTATGGTTGTTTTTCATATATACTTTTCATATACACTGTTTTACTTATTTTTGGTTGTTAATTATGTATTTTTTATATTGTTTTAATTTGTAACCCTGAATTATTTAATTATAGCACTGAATATGGGTCAAATCAGGACCCGAAACATATGTTCTTAAAATAAAAACATTTTTCATTAAAACTGTTTTTTTATTACTGGATGGATGCCTAAGAAACAATTTCATTATATATATATATATATATATATATATATATAATACATACAGATATATAAAATACAATATCTATTAAAATAATTACAAATGTTAATGTGTTTTAGTCATTTTCATTATTGCAATAAATTAATATAATTGAATTATTAAATATTGTGATACATTAAGAGTTTTGAATAAAACTAACTAAACTTTATTTGGAGTGTTTCATTTCACACTATTTTCAGTGATATATATTAGAAACATAAGATACAGGTACAGGTATATATAAAAACACATAATTTTGATGTTGACATATGAGTAAGTTCTTGAGGGCGATATATCAAACAAAGAAATTTATTTGTTTGATGTATTGCCCTTAAGAACTTACTCATATATATATATATATATATATATATATATATACAGATACAGATATATAAAATACAATATCTATTAATATAATTACAAATCTTAATGTGTTTTAGTCATTTTCATTATTGCAATAAATTAATATAATTGAATTATTAAATATTGTGATACATTAAGAGTTTTGAAGAAAACTAACTAAACTTTATTTGGAGTGTTTCATTTCACACCATTTTTAGTGATATATATTAGAAACATAAGATACAGGTACAGGTATTATAAACTGATAAGCTAATGTTATCATAAACATTAATATACTCATTAATTCGTTCTTCGAAGAGGATTCAATATTTTGAATAAATTTCATATAATATAATTTTTGTAATCTAATTTTATCATGATCAATATTGTTAATGTAGTTATAACTTTGGCCATTTTAAATAGACTAATCTATGGTTTTTCACTCATTTCAAACATGTCAAAAATGTTAACATTTTTCAATCACTTTAATATATATTATTATTTAAAGTCTCAATTAGTTCATTTTAATTAATATACTTTGAATATTGGTCAGTTTTACTTAACTATAACTTATAAAAAAAAATTACTTAACTATAACTTATAAAACAAATTCAAGTTCTCAGTCTTGAGTTATTTACTTCTTTTTACAAGAATATCTTCATTGTTACTAATATATCTTTATTATTATTCGCGTGATTATTACATTAATGACATTAATATTCTTACCAAATATACCCTACCATCTCCTATTTTACTTTACACTACCTTACCATAACCTTACACTACCTTAACCTAATACTTACCTACGTTAAGAACTAATGTACTCTTACCTTGGTTATCTTACCATGTCTCGAACCTGCTACCCTGTCCTCTCCAGCGACTCCCACCTCCCAACGCGCGACGCCACGACGATCACATTAATAAACCGTTACAAAGTAGGTGATATTATATATTTTAAACGAAAAAAAACTAACAGGTCATATGGCAAAAAAAAAATTGAATTGGTATGGCCTGTGTTGGCGTAATTGGTAGAGTGATGGCTTCGTATCGTAAAGGTACCGAGTTCGAATCATACATCAGGACAAAAAACGGGAAGAAGTAGTGCTGTTCGCGTTGAGGAATTTATTTATTGTAAGATAGCACAAAAATAAAATTTAGATTTAATAAACTAAGACGTCATGAAGCCGAAAAAAAGCAGATTTGGTGTGGCCTGTGTTGGCGTAATTGGTAGAGTGATGGATTCGTACCCAAAGAGTGCCGAGTTCGAATCGTACCTCGGTACAAAAAATGGAAAGCGTGGAATTTATTTATCGTAAGATAGCACAAAATTAATATTTAGATATAACAAACTAACAGGTCATGAGGTCGAAAGAAAGCAGAATCGATGTGTCCTGTGCTGGCGTAATTGGTAGAGCGACGGATTCGTACCCAAAGAGTGCCGAGTTCGAACCATACCTCGGGACAAAAAATGGAAAGCGTGGAATTTATTATTTATTGTAAGATAGCACAAAGTTAAAATTTGGATTTAATAAACTAACAGGTCATGAGGCCGAAAAAAAGCAGAATCGGTGTGGCCTGTGTTGGCGTATTGCTAGCGTGCTAGCTTCATGTCAACAGGGTACCGAGTTCGATTCATACCTCCGGACACAAAACGCAAAATAGCGTGAGTTGACGCTGTGGAACGAGGTATGCACGGAATCACATCCGTTCGAATTTGAGACGCCAGGCAGGTATGCTCCCCTCGATCTCGATTGAGAGGAGAGATACGCGCGAGAATCCCGCAACATCCCCTAATGAACCCCGCAGCAGCCCCGAAAAGGGGCGAGGGGGGATTATAGGGGGGTGTGGGGTTCACGAACCCGCGACCCTGTGGTCCAACCCTCCCGGAAAAGGGAGAGGGGGGACTATAGGGGGGTGAGGGTTCCGCGCGACGACCACCACTGGGTCGCGCCGGTTGAAAAGCCGGGTGTATCACAGGGTGGGTCGGTGTGCGAGTCCCCGGAGCACCCTCGAGTGCGATGATGGGGATGTGGGGTGAGGGAAATGCAGTGACGAGGGAAAAAGGGGTGGAAAGATATGAGGAGGGAGAGATAGGGATGGTGGGAGAGATAGGGGGAGAGATAAGGAGAGGGAGAGAGGTAGGGGGAGTGATAAGGGGGGGAGTGATAAAGGGGGGAGAGACAAGGGGAGGGGAGAGATAGGGGGAGGGATGAGAGAGGGGGAGGGATGAGCGAGGGGGAGAGAGACCGAGGGAGGGATAGAGACGGAGGGAGGGATGGATGAGGCGACGGGCGCGGACGTAACACATTGTTATTATGTAAAATGTGTTTAGTCTCCTCCCCCTATCGCTTCCTTCCATCCATCCCTCCCTCCGTCTCTCTCCCTCCCTTCGTCTCTCTCCCCCTCGCTCATCCCTCCCCCTCTCTCATCCCTCCTCCTATCTCTCCCTCCCCTTGCTCTTCCCCCCTTATCACTCCCCCCCTTATCCCTCCCCCTACCTCTCTCCCTCTCCTTATCTCTCCCCCTATCTCTCCCACCATCCCTATCTCTCCCTCCTCATATCTTTCCACCCCTTTTTCCCTCGTCACTGCATTTCCCTCACCCCACATCCCCATCATCGCACTCGAGGGTGCTCCGGGGACTCGCACACCGACCCACCCTGTGATGCACCCGGCTTTTCAACCGGCGCGACCCAGTGGTGGTCGTCGCGCGGAACCCTCACCCCCCTATAGTCCCCCCTCTCCCTTTTCCGGGAGGGTTGGACCACAGGGTCGCGGGTTCGTGAACCCCACACCCCCCTATAATCCCCCCTCGCCCCTTTTCGGGGCTGCTGCGGGGTTCATTAGGGGATGTTGCGGGATTCTCGCGCGTATCTCTCCTCTCAATCGAGATCGAGGGGAGCATACCTGCCTGGGGTCTCAAATTCGAACGGATGTGATTCCGTGCATACCTCGTTCCACAGCGTCAACAGTCACGCTATTTTGCGTTTTGTGTCCGGAGGTATGAATCGAACTCGGTACCCTGTTGACATGAAGCTAGCACGCTAGCAATACGCCAACACAGGCCACACCGATTCTGCTTTTTTTCGGCCTCATGACCTGTTAGTTTATTAAATCCAAATTTTAAC